GAAACAGGTCATAGGCAGGAAAATATTTAGATTCTGGTTGTGTTTTCAATGAGATAATTCGCAACCAGTGAAAATAGATTATCCATTTCTAATTGGGTTAATGATGGATCCCCATAAAGAAAAAAGTGAATTTTGTCTTGCTGAGTTCTGAAATGAGTTAATAAGTCCCCATATATCCCTAAAGTATCTGTTATTAATTTATTTCTTTGTTGTTCTTTCAGAGGGCATTTGAAAAAGAAGTGGGGAAAAGTTTCAGGGGAACCACATAAACAATTTGATGACTCAACTGAGCTCCAATTGTGGGCTTTGAGCTGGGCTTTTAAAATTAAATCTACCCTGGCTCTATTCAGATAAAGTTCTTGTTGACGAGTTAATTTTAAACAAATTGTTGAAACAACACCAGGGAACAAATTTAATTTAAGTGTTCTTTTAAAAGATGCAATAGTTGGCAAGAGCTTTTGTTCCAAGGGAACAGATCCTGGATCATTCCATAGGTTCATCATTTTGTATATTGGAGACTTATGTGGATAGTGAATAGGGATAGTGAAATCTCGAGATTTCCTTTACAATCTTGCTTGAGGGTTTATGAATGGCCTAAATATATCTGAGATATAAATAGGTGTTAAATCGTTCACGGCTTTGTACATAATTGTTTTAAAGTGGAGGATCCTCCTCTCAGTTAAGGTGGACCAGTTCAAAATGTTAAGTACTTTGGAAGTGCTGGAGCCTGGGAGAGCACCAGAGACTATTAGACCAGCTTGGTACTGGAGACTGTCAAGTCTGTTAAGGTCACAAATAGGAGCACAGTCGTAAAGGATATCACAATAATCAAATAAGGACTGAATATAAGCTGTATAGAGAATATTTAATTGTTTTGATTTTAGTCTACCCTTAAGTGCTTTTAAGGGGTTAAGAGCTGTTTGGATTTTTGCACAGATAGAATTTATATGTGCTGACCCACTTAATTTTTTATCAAAAATGAAGCCTAGGTGTTTATGAATGTCAGTTTTTTCAATTTGTTTATCATTTAAGATAACTGGTGGATAGATTGGATTATTTTTCTTAGAAAAGGTCATTTCTCTGCTCTTTTCTGGTTTAAAATCTAGTTTCCACTGTTTAGACCAGGCTTCGATTTTTTTATATCATTTTGAATTTGTATATGAGACTGCGGATTGTTTGGGGAAGTAGGTACAAAGAGGGAGGTGTCGTCTGCATAAATAAAGCACTCTGAGGTCAGGTTGTCCGATAAGTCGTTTATATAGATGAGAAACATCAAAGGTCCGAGAATACTTCCCTGAGGCACAGAACAGTTTATGTAGTTGCTAGGAGAGGTGTCAGAACATTTGCCATTCACAGTTACTTTGACACTCCTATCAGTCAAATAAGATTTTAGAAAAACTAATAAGTTTCCTGAAAATCCATACGCTTTCAACTTTTTTAGAAGAAGGTAATGGGGGACACGGTCAAACGCGGCCGAAATATCAAAAAAAATTGCACGTGTATCATTGCCGTCGCTAAAATTGCGCCAAATTAGGTTTTGGATGGCTAACAGTTGTAACTCATTGCTGTGCCCTTTCAAAAAACCGGACTGGTATTTATACAATAAGTTATTTTCAATTAAATGTTCGTACATCTTAGAGTAGACAATTCGTTCTAATATTTTGGAAGTAATACTGAGAAGAGATATAGGTCTATAATTTCTTATGTCATTCTTATTATTCTTTTTAAATATTGGGCAGATATCCCCTAATTTCCAGTTCTGGGGAAAATTACCTGTGGTCAAAATTTTATGAAAAAGTAAATTAAGTGGCACAGAAATAGTATTCCTGCATAGCTGGAGCATTTTTATTGTAACTCCATCTGGACCATTTGCTTTTGAGGGGTCAAGATCCTTAACCTTTAGCAGACCACCGGCGACCGCGTCCGCCCATTCAAAACTACCCCCAGAATCCACCGGCGGATCCGGACGACACAAATCTAACTTTTGAAAACTTTACTTTTTCCCGCCGTTCTTATGATCCAATTAGATTGCCCGATTTATTCAGTCCTTAGTAGGTGACTTCCTGTTGACCTAGAAATGGCGATGTTTCGAAAAATATTTCTCAATTCAACAATTCAACAGTGTTTAAGTCGTTTTTAGTGAACAAATCGTACAAAATGACGGCCAAATACGATCACAACGAAAATGTGGAGGAAATGGATTGCGATTTCGAGCTCTTTAGGCTCTTGGAAGCCGATAATGGTCATCAAAAATAGAAACTAGAATATTTTCTGAACTGAAAAGAAGAACATTCGATCTCTGCAAATTCAGTTTTGGATTCTGACCAGACGTTGAATCTCCCGAGGGGCGAAACGGCGGATTCTGGAGGAGTATTCATGGTATATTCAAGCCCAGTCGTGTTTATGTACGAAAAAAATTCATGAGAACATTTTTCTCATGAGCCACGCTAGTGTATCTTCCCTTTGTGAAAATTTTATCCAGATTCATTCAGTAGTTATTGAGATATTAATTATTTAGTCCAGGCATATCATTTTTGAAAAATAAGTCAGATGCGTGGGATATATTTGCTGAAATAAGTCGGAGTGCAGAAGGTTAATTATAGAGATAATTTCCTGTTGGTCAAAGTCAATGTTCTCTAATTTGTTATTGCATCTGTCAGGAAAATGAATATTATTATTCAATGCATCTGGCATCTGATACATATTAGAGAAATATTTTTGAAATTCAGTAGCTTTCTCCTGACTGGTCAAACAGGTAGTTCCAGTTAAAGGGTTTTCTATGGTAGGAATAGGCGAGCTAAATTTTTTACCTAAAAACTTTTTTATAAGTTGCCAAAATTTGTCACTTGCATGTGTTTCTCCATTTAGACTTTCTATTTGATCTGATGTAAATTTTGCTTTGGTTTCTAAAATAAGGTTCTTGACAGCTTCAGTCTGATTCTTATATGCTGTATAATGTTCAGGAAGATTGCTTTTCTTGAATTTAACATAGAGTTTTTTCTTTTTCTGAATCGCATGAGATATACTCTCATTGAACCAAGGTCTATCATTCGCTTTAATTCTTTTCATTTTGTGAGGGATATGCTTTTTAAAGATGGTAAGAATTGTATCAGTAAATTGATCATTTAAAGTGTTCATATCATGGTTTTGAGTAAAAAATTAGCCCAGTTTATTTTTTCAATTTCAAGGTTCAAGGCATCTTTATTTGCAGTATCATATTTCCAAATAAGTTTAAATTGATCTTCCTCTCTATTTAATAGTACGTCGAGTTGAGTAAAAATTGAACAATGGTCTGATGAGCCTATAGGTTCAATTACAGTCGAAGAATTTATAAGACCTGGGACATTAGTGACTGTGAGATCAATGCAAGTAGCAGATGTTGGTGTGATTCTTGTTGGTTCTTTTATTAACTGGTCAAAATCGTTATCAAAAAATATATCATTTAAAATTTTTAGTAACAATGTGGGGAGAACTGCTTTCCTTAACCATGTACATGTATAGTAACAATGGGGAGAACTGCTTTCCTTAACCATGTACATGTATAGTAACAATGGGGAGAACTGCTTTCCTTAACCATGTACATGTATAGTAACAATGTGGAGAACTGCTTTCCTTAACCATGTACATGTATAGTAACAATGGGGAGAACTGCTTTCGTTAACCATGTACATGTAAAGTAACAATGGGGAGAACTGCTTTCCTTAACCATGTACATGTATAGTAACAATGGGGAGAACTGCTTTCCTTAACCATGTACATGTATAGTAACAATGGGGAGAACTGCTTTCCTTAACCATGTACATGTATAGTAACAATGTGGGGAGAACTGCTTTCCTTAACCATGTACATGTATAGTAACAATGGGGAGAACTGCTTTCCTTAACCATGTACATGTATAATAACAATGGGGAGAACTGCTTTCCTTAACCATGTACATGTATAGTAACAATGGGGAGAACTGCTTTCCTTAACCATGTACATGTATAATAACAATGGGGAGAACTGCTTTCCTTGACCATGTACATGTATAGTAACAATGGGGAGAACTGCTTTCCTTAACCATGTACATGTATAGTAACAATGGGGAGAACTGCTTTCCTTAACCATGTACATGTATAGTAACAATGGGGAGAACTGCTTTCCTTAACCATGTACATGTATAGTAACAATGGGGAGAACTGCTTTCCTTAACCATGTACATGTATAGTAACAATGGGGAGAACTGCTTTCCTTAACCATGTACATGTATAGTAACAATGGGGAGAACTGCTTTCCTTAACCATGTACATGTATAGTAACAATGGGGAGAACTCCTTTCCTTTACCATGTACATGTATAGTAACAATGGGTAGAACTGCTTTCCTTAACCATGTACATGTATAGTAACAATGGGGAGAACTGCTTTCCTTAACCATGTACATGTATAGTAACAATGGGGAGAACTGCTTTCCTTAACCATGTACATGTATAGTAACAATGGGGAGAACTGCTTTCCTTAACCATGTACATGTATAGTAACAATGTGGGGAGAACTGCTTTCCTTAACCATGTACATGTATAGTAACAATGTGGGGAGAACTGCTTTCCTTAACCATGTACATGTATAGTAACAATGTGGGGTATTCATATGAAGGTGGTAAACAAATACAACATAGATTATCATGAAACCACAGGGTGAAATTTTGTGAATGAAATCACATTTTGCATTATAATATGAGTAGAATAAAATATTCACAAAGGTGCTATATTGAGAATTCCTTCTCAACAGAGATCCTTCACTCGTAAATTTAAGCATACTTCTATAAAAGAATCAAATCCATCAACCGGTATTTGAGTTATCGTCCTTGAGGTCAATTTTCTAACTTTTCTTACATTTTCAAAACAGTTTCTGAATAACATGATATAAGCAGGCACATCATGAATATTTAAGCATTAACATTTCACAAGTAGAATAAAACTTTAAAATGAAGATTTTTTGTCTTATCCCATATAAATCTCACCTTCGTGTGTTCTATAAGGCTTTGAAATTAAGGGTTCACCAACGATACCATCAGCCAATACAGGGGTAGACATCATCCTCGCCCTGTTGCCTGGCAACAGTCTTTTAACCTCCACAAACGTGTAATTGGCCTAAAAATATATAAATTATACACATCTTATCTAATAATAAGACAAATATCATTATTTGGTCCAGCAAATCATTTTTATTATTCATTTGCTAACAGAGAATCACATTTTTCAAGTCACGCAATTTGATCTAATTAAAGTGCATCAAGTTGCGTGCAAGCAATCTTTGTTTTATGGCATCCATGTGGGAATTCTTTTATGATGATAGATCACTTTAAGTCTACTTCAAAGACTAATGGAATAATTATGATAAACTGAAATATCATGCAAACAGGTATAATCAATTCAATCAATAAACATGTACTTGAAATTGAAAAAACATTATTAAGAGTATGTGACAAAATACAAATCATATAATTAAACAAAAAACAATTTTTTTTCTTTTTCACAATATACAGATAATCTGAAAGGCCATATGTAGTTGGAAAACAGAAAGATAAGATTATTCTAAAAACCTCACAATGTATCTGTTTTGTAATTATCCTCCAAATCCACAAAAATAAGAATTAGAGATGATGAAAAAAGAAGATTACAGGTACTGATAGCAATTCTAGTCTCACCAATACAGCAGTTACAAAATATCATAACTGTGATATGATCAGCCTCCTTCCTAATCATGTCCTCTTGATGATAGAAACTTATTGATCATGAGCAGAGAGTTTATTTTCAATATACCTAATCATGGGTGTACATTTGATGCGAACCATCCCCCCTTGGTGTTTAAGGTACTCTTCCCCAGGGATTCTATTCATGGTACAAACACGGTGTCCAACCCAAACGATCTTACATGCACAACGGAGCGTTTCATTACTGAAATTGAACAAAGAAACGCTCCGGAGTAGGAAAACTGGCGGGTGGGAATGATGAGCCTGACGATTTCCCCAATAATGGGAATAAGCTCAGGTATGAGTTCGTATTTCGAGTATACCATTCGATGGGTGTGATATTTATGTTGTACTTGGCTGGCTGTTGATGTTTGAAGCAATTAGGAAGAGCTGTACGAAGCACTATAGTTATTGAAATTCAAAAACGTATTTGTCATTCTACTGGTCAAAACCCCTTTTGTTGAGACATGTGATTAGTTGTAGCCAAGATTAGAGCACCAACGTATATTTTAGTCAAATTTCAATGCTTCGACGCATCATACATTATCGTAATAGTGATTTGATGACCGAAAATCCAGTCTTAAAAATGATGACATTCTCATAGATCTGGTTAACACAGTGAACTGGAAATGCTCCGGTAGTCTAGATCTGTTTAGGAAATATATAGCTTGCATTTCCTTTTCAGAAAGAGAAAGAAAAGATCTATTATACTCCTTGGCATCAAAAGAAGAAAGATTAGTTCACATATAAACTTTTCATTGTTTTCAATAGTTTTATGATTTAGCACACATGTAGGCATGACATCATCTAATGTAGGCTTAAATCAGCCAGTTGCACGTTTAGCACCACCAGGTTCGGACGTTTCAATTTGCCTAACTAGTACAACAAGTTTTTGAGAGAAAGATTCAATTCGGAACTCTTCTCTAATAATCTTAAAATGATATCTAAAAATTGTGTCCTAAATCGACGGAGGGTTTCGAGGAAAACAAGCGATTTCTCGAAAACAAGTTATGGATTTGGACTGAGATTTTAGGAAATGAGAATATACGAGTTTGTGATCTAATACTTTATCAGAAAAATTAACGTTTTCATATATATACTAGTTTAATTCGTAATTTGTGGTCAATTCGTCATCTTCAGATTCGTTCGCTCTACACTACGGAGCTTTGATCAAGCAAATAACAGTTTACCACCAGAAGTTGAATAAATAAGATCTTTGCTCACGGTCACCCGGTGTCACGGTATTGTTCATCGAATGGTACATAATATTTCACCATAACATATGATATGTAAGAGAAACGAGTGAAACAATACTTACGGTCATAGTGGAATCTTCATTAGCCACCATTTTATTTTGCTCGGGAGCGTTTCCGCGTAAATGTAATGCTCTGTCGTGCATGTAAGAGCATTTGGATTGGACACCGTGACAAAGTAAAAATAGACTCTGTGGTAGAAAAGCTAGGTTTCTAGTTCAACTGTCATGATGACTGTTTTTAATATGTTACTATGTAAACCATAATTTGTTACAATGTATACCATCATATGTTAATGTATATCATCATTTGTTACAATGCAGTGCCACATTAAAATCTTTGAAGCATCTCCCTTGGAAAATCTTAAGGATGCCATTGTCATTTGTTACAATGTATACAATCATTTGTTAGTTTGTATACAATCATTTGTTAGTTTGTATACAATCATTTGTTACTATGTATACCATCATTTGTTACTATGTAAACCATCATTTGTTACTATGTATACCATCATTTGTTACGATGTTAACCATCATTTGTTACAATGTATACCATGTGTTACTATGTACACCATCATTTGTTACAATGTATACCATCATTGTTACAATATATACCATCATTTGCTACAATGAATACCATCATTGTTACAATATATACCATCATTTGCTACAATGAATACCATCATTGTTACAATATATACCATCATTTGTAACAATTTATATCATTTTTTGTTACAATGTATACCATCATTTGTTACTATGTATACCATCATTTCTTACAATGTATACCATCATTTGTTACCATGTATACCATTATTTCTTAAAATGTATACCATCGTTTGTTACTATGTATACCATCATTTCTTACAATGTATAACATCATGTGTTACTATGTAAACCATCATTTCTTACAATGTATACCATCATTTGTTACTATGTATACCATTATTTCTTAAAATGTATACCATCATTTGTTACAATGTATACCATCATTTATAACATCATTGTTACAATATATACATATACCATCATTTGCTACAATGTATACCATCATCATTTTGGGTAATGATTTGAAGTAAGTGTCATTTCATTTCACTACTCTTACAGTGGAGACAATTAGGTTATTTAACGTTTATCTCTGGCAATTATTTTACTGCTAACCTCATTGGCTAATAGTCTAGAATTTAGCCTGTATATCATTATCATAAATAATGAACTGAATCCGACTTGCGTTGTTATGTATATTTAGCAATTACTAATTTGGAATTTAAATTTCATATTAAATGTACGTCCAATTCATAAAATTGGTCAAGGACATGTTGAAAGACGTTCTTGTCATCATAAATATGAAGAACATATTGATATTTTTTCTTCTAATTGTGATATTTCATTAAACTCTGGAATGGACTCTTTTTTAGTCAGATGCACTAATGGGAGAAATTGGCAATATGAGCCCGTTCTAGGATGAAATATTCAAAATGTTGTATTCATCGATATGGAAAATCTAAAGGAGTGGTATCGATATGGTGAACTTTTTGAACACAAGTTTCTCTTAAACCAGTCATCAAAACATTCTGAAAATATTACACTTCATCAATTTAATGGTAATCTTTTGGATGGTAACATTTTAATTTGAAATATATATATACTTTTCTCTATATTGTTTTAGAAAACACATCAGACACTTGTTCTTGGTATCATATGTTTGGATGAAATGAAACATCTATCCGAACCTCATTGGAACAAAACGACACAAACACAACGTGTTTTAAGGTCTCTCAATATTGTAATTGTACAAAGCAAAGTTTGGTTGATTTTTAAATAGTACCTTGTGAATGAAATAAAAGGTTTAACTTAATTTTTATCTATTTTGGGGGGTTTTGTTTTAAGTTTTTGCATACTTTTTGTAAAATCAACCAAAAATTCCTTTGTATAACTATATAATATTGAGAGGTCTAAGAAAATGTTGTATATGCTACTTTGTTCTAACAAGGTTCAGAAAGAAAATTTTATTTCATTCTCAAGAATTGGTAGAAAGGAACAAAAAACAATTGCACTAAAAAACAAAAAATGTAGCAAAAACAGTTATATGAAATATATATAATTTTTGCATTAAATTGTCAATCAGTCAACATTACATAAAGGACCGTTCTTTTTTACAGAATGTTTTCAATAATTGGTTTAAGAGAAAAACATTGTTGAATTCAGTTCACCATATCGATACCTATCCTTTATTCAATAAAATATACCAACAGAATTTGTCAATAATTGCAATTTATTGGTGAAGCAATGAGACCGTGATCATTATGCAAAAAGTCATTGCATCATAGAAAACAGTATTCCCACACGGATGTTGAAGATAGTTATCCAATGCTTTGAATAAAAGCAAAATCCTGTAGCCCAAATTGTAATAAACATGTCACTGATGCCTCTCTTGCGGGTGTTTATCACAAAATAAGCCATCCTGATATTTCGTCGTCAGTTGTTCAAATGATTATACTATGGTGTTTCTGCGTCTAAAAACCTGGTTGAAACAGAAAGAAGTGAAGTCATCTTCTTCTGTATGCTAAATAATCAAAAGTTAAGCTTACCTGTATGTAAATATCAGCAAAAAGTATTTTTCTGAAATGAAATGCAACGAAAATAACGCCTAAATCAATTTGAATTTGAAGTACGTCAATTAACGTGATACCTGGCAATTAACGCACAATGACATCAATTGTCAGAATAAACGTTAAACAACCTAATCGTCTCCACTGTCTCACGTGTCTTAATTATATGTAAGGTTTAATCATGTCATTTATAGTGCAGGACATTTAACATGTTTGAAAGTGGATGACTTAAACACATCAGTCATATAAAAGTTTCATCCTTTTGGGTATTTAAAACACATTTATGAACTAATATGCTCTGGCAAAACTTAAACAGACCCTGGCCTGACTTAATCCAGGAGCTATTTTCATATAATTTCATTTTGGTTACACAAGGGAAATTATAACTCCAAACCAAATGATCCCTCGTGGTCAATCAAAAACTTGTCGACATTGTTACCTTGACATTGTTGAGCGTTGATATTAAGACATTGAGTCTAGTTTATCCATTTAAACAAAAGGACCGCGAGTTGGTTTGTAGAATGAATTGCGGGAGTTTTTTCTTGCATTTTGCTGTATTTTTCATTTAAAAAACATCAATTCACTTTAATACATTTTATTGACTATAAGATTGCACCATATAACCCCCCAAAAAATATTTCTCATTTTCAAGGATTATGGATTTACACCCAGGTATTTTCATTTTTCAAACTTCAGAAGGCTGGGAATCATTGATTACGGTCGATTTTGAATAATATTAATGCTGTTTTAAATAGGTTTCATGTACATGTATGCCAAAAATTTCTCAAATTGTGTAAATGGTACCTTAATTCCAAGAGTTTTCGCTTTGAGGAATTTCCCAAAGTAATCCAATGGTATAGTTCAAAGCAGATTTTGAGATAACAGGAAAGTTAATCATTAATACACACCTCATTGGGTTGTGATATAAACCAAAACAACCCAATATTAAGGTGTGTAAGGTGCGTGTGTGTGTGATTAACTTTCCTAATGAAATGTTTTAAAGTGTATTGATGTATTTTAGATGAAAAACAAAAGCCAAATGCATGAAAAAGCTCCCCAGATTCATTCTACAACTCACGGTCCTTTGCTCAATTTTTGCTAATACTGTCATTATTGATTCTCTTGTCTAGTGATTCCATAGACTACTCCTCCCTGTGAGCTAATAATGGTGAGCGAAAAACATACACCTATAGTTTTCTTTCTCTTTGCTTCAAATGTTCTATCAGGTCATCATGCTTTTAAACAAAACCCAGGTATGATTATTACTTTTTCACATTTCCAAGTTATGGCTCAGATATGCATTTCAATTAATAAACCCACACATCCTATTAATAGTTTAGAACATATTGTCTTTCTGCAATGTATCCATGCGGAGAAAAGGCTATCATGACTGTCATTCTGCCAACATGTGACAAGAGTATCAAATTGCTCCAAATGCAATGTATCCTTGAGGAGACAAGGCTATCATGACTGTCATTCTGCCAACATGTGACAAGAGTATCAAATTGCTCCAAATGCATTGAGGAGACAAGGCTCTCATGACTGTCATTCTGCCAACATGTGACAAGAGTATCAAATTGCTCCAAAGGCAACCATGAGTTTCCAAGAATTTTTAATAAATTTCAAACCTAATTGATTTTACACATGAATTCAGAAATACCAGTAACTGTAAGGCATGTATGTCTTATAATGTGAATCAAATCTGTCAAACAGTATTTGAGTTATCGCCTGGACAGATGAATGAATGAACAAACGATTGAGAAAGATTGAGAGAAAAAAGATTGAGTGTAATGTAATCCCAGTAACAAATAAAATTTAGAAATACCAAAGACAGGTGACCTAATAACTGGTCTTTAGGTGAGTTTCCCTAACTACACGTATTAGTTCTCTTGCCATACATCTCAATAAGCCCCACATTAATTATTACAACATCTTTGGAAATAACAGAAGCATTAATTTTTAGTTTTGCATTTGCAATTCTTCTATAATATGGATGCTAAATATGAATTCATCATTTTTAGTTAGTAGCTGCACAACTACATATAGTGCAATCCACAAAAGTATTTTAATTTATTTCATTATAAATGTTAGTTTATATTGTTGAAAGTCTCTAGACTAAACTGGGTACAAAAACTCAAATTAGAGTCTCATAATTTTTCTTGATTTCCCAAATTCTCAAGTGGGTGCATGTGAAGTCTCAAGTGTATGCAAATACAAGTGATTTGTTGAAAAGAATACAAGTCTCACTGGCAGATCTGGGAGGGGGCCAAAAAGATTTTTGAGCCAAAAAAGGCCTTAAGGCCCAAAAAAGTGGGCCTCTTTAGTCATAAATGAGCCTTCTAAGGCCTTATTTTTTTAATTTTAGGCCAAATTTTGAAGAAAATGGGCCTCAATCCACTTTTGGATTTTAGGGGCCCAATATTTTTTCCGCGCTTTTTCTCATACCAGAAATTTGGACCCCCCCACTTGTTGGTCCTTATATCCGCCCCTGAGTCTACACATAACAAAGAAAACTTACCAAACCCAGGATTTCCCAGTCTGTAGTATTCACGGGGGCAGCCATAAGCACAAACATCAACGGAAATGTGTCATTCTCAAAAAAGCGATGTAGCTTAAATAAGATGTGAGCAGAACGGTCCTTGAACTTAGGATCTTGGCTGGAAAAATGATAGCATTAAATTATATAACTGATTAAGATAATTGGGTAAATATAGTGGTCAGTATGTAATCAACATTCAAAGCAATCAAGGAAATGGTGTAAAGATTACTACCTGAGCATAATATATGTATGAATATAAATCAAAACCTGTCATACAGGGGATTTTAGAATACTACCTAGGCATAATATATATATATATGTATATAAATCCAAAACCTGTCATACAGGGGATTTTAGAATACTACCTGAGCATAATATATGTACCGTATTCTCTGTAATTAGCGCCCAGGGCGTTTAGAAAATTGAAAATACATTATTTAGACCATTCTAATAAGCGCCCATGTATGAAAGAAATCAGAAATCCCGAGGAATTTCATGTATGGCAATTTTTCTTGACAAGAATGCATTTTCTTCAACATATTTTTATAATAATATGACAAGTGCTGTTATTGGAGAGAATACGGTAAAGATCGCTTAGACAATATTGACAGTGGTTGAAGACCCGTCTATGTCTAATTTATTTCCGGCACGCCCACTTTGTCATTATCGCCGATTACCTTCAATATTTCCACTAGAGACTGCTGGATATCGATCTAAAGTTATACATTATTTCTAATTTGATGAGAGATCATCATTATTCGTGCAAAAGTCGTGTAAAAGTCGAGAAACATTAAAAAGAAACCAGAAAGTTCACGACCTTGACATGCGCAGAACATCTGCGCAGTAGCTTTTGAAATTTCTGAATGCCGATGAAGAACAATTCCTTCATTCATTATGGACTATTTGGAGACAATATTAGCATGGTATGGTGTGGGAAGCACCCATCGATAGATATGTATCGAGAGGATGCATAGAATTACAAAACGCGTCGTGTTTACAGCAGTTTTAGGGTAAGTACTCTATTATCGCCCGCTCCTGGATTTTGAGAAATATTTTTTTCCTGATATATTCTTCAATTCTTGTTGATTCCTCGATGTTTCTTGAACTTTGTGAAGCGGGGTGGGCGCTTATTAGAGAGTGGGCGGTAATTACAGAGAATACGGTATGTATATAAATCAAAACCTGTCATACAGGGGATTTTAGAATACTACCTAGGCATAATATATGTATGTATATAAATCAAAACCTGTCATACAGGGGATTTTAGAATACTACCTAGGCATAATATATATATATATAGTATATAAATCCAAAACCTGTCATACAGGGGATTTTAGAATACTACCTGAGCATAATATATATATGTATATAAATCCAAAACCTGTCATACAGGGGATTTTAGAATACTACCTGAGCATAATATATGTATGTATATAAATCAAAATCTGTCATACAGGGGATTTTAGAATACTACCTAGACATAATATATTTATGTATATAAATCCAAAACCTGTCATACAGGGGATTTTAGAATACTACCTGAGCATAATATATGTGTGAATACTAGACAACAGCAACGCCAAAGCTTAGCAAATCCCATCAAACAGCCATGGCTTGCATTTTTACAAACAAAGTACATAGAAAAAATGGCAGCCATTTTTAAAAATGGCCACCTACTATCAAAAGTGTCATTAGACAGTGTGCCATGCTTATAGTATTCACATACCAAATATGAAAAAAATCGCTCAACTACTTTAAACAATACGCTAAAATGGCGGCCCTTTTGAACAAGACACACAGTGATAAATATCGCACTTTGAAGAGCAAACTGGCCACCATGCAATTTACCCAGCATGACCAACACCTAATCAGACCTTGGCACTAGTCTGCTCTTGCATCTGTAAACATTTCAAGTTGACAAGGTTAGTGGTTTTCCTGCAATTTTGATGATAAGAATTTATTTGTAGTCTTGAACTTTGGGAAAATTTAGATAAAATTGTTTGTGACCTAATTTGATGACCTTCGACCTTGAAAATTTCACTTTTTCAGACCTCAGTAGGTCGCTTGTAATTAAGCTGACCTAAATTTAAATCCAAAATATCAATTAAGAAAATCAACTTTTTTGACCTTTTCAAGGTCACTGAAGGTGAATGAAAGGTCAAATCTGTGACCTAGTTTAATGACCTTCAACCTTGAAAATTTCACTTTTTCAGACCTCAGTAGGTGTTTTGTAATTAAGCTGACCTAAATTTAAATCCAAAATATCAATTTAGAAAATCAACTTTTTTTACCTTTTCAAGGTCACTGAAGGTCAACGAAAGGTCAAATCTGAAATCTAAGGTCAGGTTTGAACTTCTGAGAATTTGTAGATGTTTTTAAAAAAAAGATTTGGTCAATTTGGAGCAAGTTGAAAAATTCAAAATGGCCGCCAAATTGAAAAATTCAAAATGGCCACCATGTAATTCAGCCAGCATACCCAAAACCTAATCAGATCTTGGCAATAGTCTGATCTTGCATCTGTAAAAATTTCAAGTTGAACGGAAAAGTGGTTTTCCTGGAATTTTGATGACAAGATTTGTTGAAAAATTCAAAATGGCCACCACATAGTTTACCCAGCATGCCCATAACCTAATCAGATCTTGGTACTAGTCTGCTCTTGCATCTGTAAAAATTTCAAGTTGAACAGGTAAGCAGTTATCCTGGAAATTTGATGACAAGATTTGGTTTATGTGCCGCCCGCCCACAAGATGGCTGCCATGTGCTTCTTTAACATCTACATTTCTGGTTTTCAAGGTCACTGAAGGTCAACGAATGGTCAAATCTGAAATCTAAGGTCAGATTTGAACTTCTGAGAACTTGTAGATGTTTTTAAAAAAAAGATTTGGTCAATTTGGAGCAAGTTGAAAAATTCAAAATGGCCACCACGTAGTTTACCCAGCATGCCCATAACCTAATCAGATCTTGGTACTAGTCTGCTCTTGCATCTGTAAAAATTTCAAGTTGAACAGGTAAGCAGTTATCCTGGAAATTTGATGACAAGATTTGGTTTATGTGCCACCTGCCCGCAAGATGGCTGCCATGTGCTTCTTTAACATCTACATTTCTGGTTTATTTATTAATGTCCTATATAATTTTTTTACATTTAAAACATATTGCTATTACAGTTTTACATATTACACCTAAATTACTGTAAAATCGGCACTAAAAAGGCCGCCATTTTTAAATGAGTGGCCATTTTGAAAATTGGCTTTCGAGCAGAACTTCTACCTCCATAGGGTATATGTGAACAAGATATGAACAAAATCGGGTCAACGGTATTTGAGGACAGACGGATTGACAGACGGACAGACGGAGGCATTCCCTATATCCCTCCGAACTTCGTTCTATGGGATAAATATTAAGTAACATTATGTATACCATTAAAATATTATCTTAAAATGTCTATATACCAAAAATGTAGAATTAAAATGTTGACATATATCTTTTAAAATCTCCCTCTCTCCTTTACCCTAGAAGGATTACATTCAAGAGTGTAAAGAATAGATTACCTCTCAGTGAAATAGCAGTACAGTTCTGGGGGATCTATATCAATCTTCTGTTTTGATACTGGTATAACTGGAAAAAAGAAAACTAAAGCATTATTTTATAACATATACAATTAAAGATGAAAATAACTAGAGAGTGACAGTGCCAAGGCAGATAGCAAATATCATTAAACATCTCAGTTTAAGCAACCAGTCATTTCTCCTCCATTACAGTCACATAAAGATTTATTAAACTTAATGAGCAGACATTTAAATGTTCACTGATTTTTACAACCAAAGTTAAGGAAACAAATATCAATAATGTTTCAACATTGGTCATTGTTGGGATCAATTCTGTAATTAACATGATTTCAGAGGAAATTACCATACCACCATTGTATGGGGAACTTATCTTAACCCTTTAATTGATGAAAATAAATCGATGATTTTCTTCAAAAAACTCATTTTTATCGTTTTCTAAGCATTTGATTCTGCACCATTGGTTTCAATGAGAGAACTATAATGTATTTTTCTCTGAACCACTTTTCCGCGCTTATGAGTTAATCTCTCTCTCTTATTCTTCAGCCAATCTTCTTAATTCCTTTTTGATATGAAATGGATAACATGTTGATAACATAAGGTATGACTACATCATAAGCCAATGTGATTTTTCTAGAGCAGCCTTTAAACTTAAAGAGTGAAGAAGAAACTTTTAAGAAAAAAAATGTAAGTCATATGAATTCAATGGCTAGTTCAGAATATTTTACTATTAAGTATAAAATTGAGGTAGCTGTAACTATGACGATCTATTTTTGCAATAAGAGAGACATATTGAATGAGTAGAAAATGCAGAAAATGTTTTGTTGGCTAAGTGTTCTTAATGGTATGCCAATTTCACTATTGTGTTCGAAAGAGATTTAAAGCTTTAAAATGACAGGCCATATTAGGCTGAATGGAGAATTGAATTACTTGAATTGATCTCAATGTATTTTATAGCCAATTACTCTCAATGTTTCTCACAATCTCCTCAACCCATCACCAGAATTACTCCACAATCAAGCAGGTATAGGATTTGGAATGCAAACATTATCATTACTTATCATTGTTCGACCATGCATGAGATGGACTGTAAGCAGTAAATGAGACAAAAGTCAAGTGTACATGTATAAGCAGTAAATGAGACATAAGTCAAGTGTACATGTATTTATATATAAGCTAGCATACAAATGCTTCTTAATATTCAAGGAAAGACCAGATATTGATGAATATATCAGAAAAAATGAAATTCTAAAGAAATCAATGTGGCGATATACGAACATAGAGTACAGACACCTAAATGCAGTGAAAATAACACATTTTGAAAGGACGATTCTCGTCTTCTGGGCTAATAATTTTTTCATGAAAAATATAGAAATATTACCCAAATTAAATTATGAATATTCAAAAGAGGACATTTAAATCTACAAGATATAAAAATAACAAATTGATCTGAAGCAGGGATAACGCTCAATTAGACCGATTCAATAAAATACAAGTCTCGATTTGGGGAAAGAAGTTCATCAGTGTACTGCGCTAATATTTTTTTGCGAAAAATCTAGAAATATTACCCAAATTAAATTATGACTATTCAAAAGAAGACATTCAAATCTATAATCCTTGTATTTTTTAATATTTCTTCAGCTCCTTAATGTGTCTCAAGGAAATAATGAATGTAATCGGGGAAACAATGTAGAGCCTCACTGAAGATTTCTTGAATTTGTGGGGCTCCACTGGGGATTTCTTCCAGTTTTGGGGTTTCACTGGAGATTAATTCCTTCAATACAATAGTTGAGAGATAGATTCTCTCTTCATTTTTGCGGATCATTCAATCTAAAAAACAGCAATTCTATGGAGTAGCAAACCCCACTGAACAATACATATTTAATACTACACCTTGATGTGATGCCAGATATCAAATAAGGCAAAAGCGTATAAAGTTTGGACCAAATCTGTTAATCTGAAAATTTATTTTTGACCAGAGAAGCCTATAAAATTTAAACCAAATCTGTCAATGATTATTTGAGTTATCACCAAGACAAATGAGCAAATGGAAGAATACATGGATGAATGGACAAATGCAGTTACAGAAATATATATATAAAAAAAACTCTGAATCAGGGCCAATTTATTTCACTTCCCCATTGACCTGAGGGCCATATCTTGATCTGACTAAGGGATGCATGATCTGTTTATCCTAACCCTACTTTCACACAAAACTAGTTCTCACTATGTTCTCGAAAATGGGCTTTAATTATGTACAAATGGATTGGACGTACTTATATTGGGGTCTATTTACAAACTTCACGAAAGTACTCAAACAGGTATGATGGCGACCATACCGTTCTGTTATAGTAATTCTGTAAGTAATGTACTTCAAAACCTGATCCTTCTAAACTATGAATGTAGTTGCCATACTTCGACCCAACTAGGGACGTGTTAAAGACGTTGTGCAATCAGATATCAATTGCAGTAATGAAATATTCTGATACTCATAGCATCTCTCTATGTTGCATCGCAGATGCTCTGATATTTCGAGGTTGAAATGCTGATCAAAGAGGCGGGCCCAAATATTCATAATATCAATTTAAGCGGTGACATATTAAATAAGTACCAATAAGATAAACCGAACAGGAAATACTTGATTTAAGACACCTAAACATCTAAATTGCGATAAGGAAAGAAGCCCTGTTAAACAAGCATACCACGCTCAAAGTTTTATCGGATAAATTCGAAGTGAACGAAAGATATCCCATGAATTGTTTTCTAAGTGAATCACGTGACCTTCCATAGTCATCGTGATGGCTATCCTAAAATGCCTGAAGTTTTACGATGGGATAGACTCACTAGTGATGCCATCTGATGTCAATCAACGTACGTCATCGCGTTTCATGCTTCTGATTAGAGAGCTCGAAAAAGCTTGATTTGAGGATCGCGGAGATTGAAACTAAGTCCACATAAGACCACGGTCTCTCCAGAAGGATAGAGATGGAGAGGTTGTGGCTTACCACGATGGTAATGAAAGCTGAATTAAGAAATTGAGAATTGGATGAAAAATCTCTATATAATCCAGTTCAGATCAGACAAGATTTACTTTGTGAATATGTATAAATTGCAATACAGTTTTAGATCATCATAACCTTTGTGATTAGTTCCCTTATCCAGACCAGTGAACCATCCTCTCCTTTAAACTCCTCAAATGAGGAATACAGTTTTTATGTAATCATCAAAAGAAGCTTTGACATGGCTTTTTAATTTGGAAAAGTAAAGTTTCATGCTGAAATAGTAGCTTTGAAACTGGCTAAATGTAATAAAATTATCTCAGTGAAGTGAAACTCTTGCTCATGGATGTGATTGCAGCTTAAGCTATCTTGATAGATTAAAGGGATGACAACGGTGAGACACTATGTTATTAATCACTCTATCAAGTCAGTGTGATTAGCGCATGTTCTCTAAATTCTACTTCACATCGATTTTACCATATTCTCGATCTCTTGGTGTTATGGTGCATTGTGAGGGGGAATTAGACACATTTCTTTTCACATTGGATTGTGATCTGGGATAATTGGGATTTAATTTCCTTATTTCTCAGGCCCGTAGTCAGGGGGGTTCGATGGATTTGAGCGACCCACCCTACTGGGCGGAAATTTTCTCAAAACCATGCAGTTTTTCACCATTCAAAGTACTTTTTAAGTGATTTTGCCAATTTTTGGACCAAAATTGTCAAAAGTGAACCCTGGCTATGGGCCTGTGATTGGTGTACTCTTAGATGTCTTCTTTTTCTTGCTGTTTTGTAACGATTTTTTTGTTTTCCCATTGGCATTTAAGCTTACACATGTAGATATTCACCTTAGTCAATCTCATTCAGATTGAAACAGGTTAGACACCAAAAATCACTCCCCCCCAGTTTTCTGCAAGTTAAAATGATAAATTTTGCATGTGAAATAAGTGAATTCTGCAAGGGGGAAGGCTATAATTCTGCAGAAATTTCCGCGGAAAATATTGTGATAGATATAAAAAAACGGGAAAATTTCGTGATAGTTTATGCAGTCAGTCACTTTGTCACTACTCAATACATGCTGCCATCTAGCGACATAAATCAAACTATGAGATTTAAAATTTCAAGGGATTTGACTGAAAATGTGTCAAATTATTACAAGTAACACTGACTCTTTAAACTTTTGGAAAATATATTGATTCCACGGAGAATTCTGCGGAGATTGACCAAAACAGTTGTTTCTACAATACCGCGGGAAAATGCAAATTCATTCCGCACTCTGCAAACACGGAATCCTGTGGGCAGTGAAACATGGGCTTATCAATTAATATTCATTGGGACGCCCGTCCAGCAATCTGATCGCAATATAGCACCCAAAGGACACAATAAAAAGAAATGTTATTCTCATACAGTAATTACTACATAGAGTGAACCAAACAAGAGAGAAATTGAAGGTTTTGATTGATCATTCATTGATCTGCAGCAGGTTGCAATTACTGCATTGATCTTTACCTTTATGAAGTAAACCACCTCTTGATTAGATAGAAAATTGAATCTATTAAATTCCATCCTTTGGTGATTTCCCATGACAAAAAATAACCATCTAACTTTGAATCATTTATACATCATCTAGGATCTGAACAGAAATAGACACAATTCCCCTCTTCAATTATTCTAAATGGTGATCTTTGGCATATTATTTCTTTTTTTATTCTTTTCATACATCAAATCGACAAATGCAAATGAAAAGAAGACAAAACATTTTATTGTTGATACTCAGCTTCTGCCTGGTAATTAAATAAATCATATAGAAGATTGTAATGTCCGAGAATAATGAGAAGAAATTGATAAATAGCCAGTTATATTATCTCAAGAGCCTAAAGCGTTATAAAACAGAATATCAAACTAGCAATTTATATTTTATGATTGAATATTATTATTGTTATGGTATCAAAATGTCATGCTTGATAGGCTGAGATATGGATCATTATATTGGCATTTCTTCAAATGTCAACAAACGAGAATGAGAAAGTTGAAGATAATTTGAACTTTATATT